GGGGAGAGAGAGAGAAGAAGAAGAAAACAAAACAAAACAGGCCATCCTTGGAGAGTGGAGAGCAAGGCCAGATGGTCACATACGGGCCGAAGAGACATACCATCTTTTTCTTGTTATTACTTCTGGTCTTCTCTCAGTTCCTTCTCCTTGCATAGTCCAGGCTAGAGGTCCTGAAGAATCACAACTGGCAATAGCAGCTGTGGATCTAACGTCTTTCCAGAGACTGAATTTTTTCTTTGGTACACTTTTTATACATTGATTCATTTTAGCCAGTCACTGCCTGCTGCTACTTTTTGCTTGTCAAGTCTTCCTCTCCCTCACATTTCTCTGAGCAAGGATGAGCTATGCAACCCCATACAGGGTGAAGCAATGGCTTTTTATTATGACATGACTGTAAAAGAGACACCTCTCTCTGACCACCCGATGAAGAATATTTCACATTTGAAAGCTTGTCTAAGTGTATCCCAAGCTTGCAGCTGGTCCATTAAAAAGATATCACCCACAAAAATTGCCTTTCACAGATCACTCCCCCACATTTCAGCACGAAGGAAACCTACATGAGACAGATTTTTCCTATATTTTCTTTGTTTCTGCCAAAGTTCCTAGTTCTGGAGGCTACGAGAAGAGACCAGTCAACTGGTTAGAGCAGCAGTAACTCTACATTTTTCCCAGGGGACCAGATGGGCAGCGTTCAGTTGGTCAGCAGCCAATCCAGTGCCTGCGGCAGAAGCAGTGGGCACTGTGCAGTTGCGCGGAGGAGAGTGGGAGGCAATCCAGCACCACCGCCCTCCTTGAGGAAGGGGGTTTGATTTGGCTCTGCAGGAGGAAGGGTATGTGGCTCCACCCTGCAGAGGGGAAAGGGAGCATGGTCTGGCCCCAGTCTGGGCCCTGCAGGGGGCAAAGGGGTTGCAGGCCAACCCCAACGGGGAAGGGATTGTGGCTGGTCCACATGGGGCTTCGGAATTTGGCAGGTGGGAGGGTGTCTGTATTAATGGCCACTGCTCCCGCACCAAATTTCCTGACCCGTGGGGAGTCCTGCAGACCAGATGCAATGGCTCTGTGGGTCACCCCTGTGTTAGAGTGCTGGAGTGGTATGGAGATCTTGGCCAAATGTCTTGGCTTAGCATCTCTTGGTTCACCAACTGTAAGATATAAATGATATATCCCTCCATCACCATGCTGAGGATAAGTTCCATTAACATTTACTGGGGCTCATGCATAACAGTGAAGAAGATCAAGTAAGAACCCAAATACAGTATCTAAACAGACAGCTCTTGCAGGTCTCATGACAGAACTTGTTCCAAAGCAATGGAATAAATGTGATTTCAAGTCCTAGGATTTCTAGAACTAACTAAGCTCTGGTTAACTCATTTTTACAACAGCAACCCTGTAAATCCAGAGGAAAGTTTAAGTTTAAGATAGAGAGCAAAAAACGAAACTGACCCATACATGACAGAGAAGGAAGGCTGCTGCAGTGGCAGAGGTATATTTCTACTTTTATTAGTGTGAGCAGCTGATGATGCAGGCACATGATGCAAAATCTAAGGACCTCACCCCATTCTCATTAAAAAACTAGGGGATTGTGGTGTCGACACCTACACAGTCAGGTGGGTCACCAACTGGCTGGAGGGCCGCAGGCAGAGAGCGGTGGTGGACGGGTCTTATTCGACCTGGAGGGATGTGGGCAGTGGGGTTCTGCAGGGCTCGGTCCTCGGGCCTGCACTGCTCAACATCTTCATCAGCGATTTGGACAAGGGGGTAAAAAGCACCCTGTTCAAATTTGCTGATGACACTAAGATGTGGGGGGAAGTGGGCACGCTAGAAGGGAGGAATAGGCTGCAATCAGACCTAGACAGGTTACAGGGGTGGGCGGATGAGAACAGGATGGGTTTCAACACTGACAAGTGCAAGGTACTGCACTTGTGGGGGAAGAACCAGCAGCATACCTACAGGCTGGGGAACTCCCTTCTCGTCAGTGCAGAGGCAGAAAAAGGACCTTGGAGTCATTATTGATGCCAAAATGAACATGGCCCGACAGTGTGGGGATGCAGTCAGGAAGGCTATCCATACCTTGTCATGCATCCACAGATGCATCTCAAGCAGGTCCAGGGAGGTGATACTTCCCCTCTATGTGGCATGATACTCCCCCTCTATGTGGCACCAGTCAGGCCGCAGCTGGAGTACTGCGTCCAGTTCTTGGTGCCGCACTTCAAGAGGGATGTGGACAACATGGAGAGGGTCCAGAGGAGGGCCACTCACATGATCAGGGGGCAGCAGGGCAGGTCCTACAAGGAGAGGCTACGGGACCTGAACCTGTTCAGCCTCCACAAGAGAAGGCTGAGGGGGGATCTAGTGGCAGTTTACAAACTAGACAGGGGGGACCAGCAGGCATTGGGGGAGTCCCTGTTCCCCCGAGCGCTACCAGAAGTGACAAGAAATAACGGTCACAAGCTGGCAGAGGGTAGATTCAGGCTAGGCATCAGAAGGCGCTACTTCACTGTCAGGGTGGCTAGAATCTGGAACCAACTTCCAAGAGAAGTGGTGCTGGCTCCTACCCTGGGGGTCTTTAAGAGGAGGCTGGATGAACATCTTGCTGGGGTCGTTTGACCCCAGTACCCTTTCCTGCCCATGGCAGGGGCAGGGACTTGATGATCTGCTCAGGTCCCTTCTGACCCTACCAACTATGAAACTACGACCTTGCCCCATTAAACAATTATTACTTTAACAAAACATGCAGCATCTGTATTTATTGATCAGCGATCCAACGTGCCTTTGAAAAACTGCTAACATTTTTTTCCAAATCTCTTAACACATTGAAGTAACAGCACAGAGGGCAGTGACTGGAAAGGTTTCTTTTTTTATTACGATTCTAACTTTGCTGATTCACTAGATAAAAGGGCACGGATAGGGAGACAGATGGTGACTGAGAAGCAGTACAGCAAAGAAAAGGTTTAGTTCAAAGCAAGAACCCTGAATAACCAACAAAACATTATTTTTTAAATATAAAGCAACATTTTATTTGTGTGACTGACCTGGTTTCTCTTGGGACTGTATCATTGAGGACATGCCATATCTTTCCTTAGCATGATCCTAAAAGGGGGATGAAAAACCAAACAAAAATGAGGCATGTCAAAGAACTGCACACAAAAACGGGGAGGGAGGGATTGTTACA